TTGGGCCTACTGCTTTGAACAAAGCATTCTTAAGGGACCGGCGTGTTTGCGCGCTTCATGATGGAACCAAAGTACCAGGTCCTGGGAACTGCGCAATAAGTGCAGAAAGTAGGAACAATGACTGAGCCAGGACCTGATGTAGTTGTTTTGTTTTTCTACTCCAGGCCCCTCCCCCTTCAGAAGAATTGCGTGGCCCCCTTTAATTTCGCCCAGGCCGGCATGATCCACTCCGCATCGTCCTCGAACACGTTGAGGCCAAGAATGGACTGGGTTCAGGACTACGAGAAGACCCTCTCAATCGTCCACTCGCATCGCAACTGGCTGTGGCGGCCACGAAAGAAGACATGCAACGTGTCTGCAGCCAAGGGTTGCCGTCGCAGCCTCGTGGGCTGGGTGGGCACCATGACCCGCTCACTAAGGGGGCCAGTGAGATCGCCCTGCGGTGCTCTTTCTTCCACATCTGATGCTCTTTCTTCCACATTTGCCATTCAAGCCGGAAAAAGGAAGCGCACCAGCGTGCGCAAGCTCTGATTGCACGCATGCCATCATTCTCATGCAACATTCCTGCCTTGCAGTTCCAGCTCGTTGCGCTTGCTTGTCTGAGGCTGCCCCCTTTTGGAGAAGCGCCTGGCCCTTGGATTTTTCTCATCGCGGGGCTCGCGCTTGTAGCAAACGTGGTGAACACGGTGCAGCGAAGGAGCGTGAGAGCGGAAGCCATTGTTTCAGACCGGTTTTGCGTGAGCTTGCGGCAACGTCCAGGCTCATTCCTGCTAGCTGCGCAGAGGCGCCGTTTGGAGCATGGCTATGCAAAAGAAAGGGAGTGCTTGTGGCCCCCCAGGATCACCACCCTTCTATAAATGAAATTTTACGGGGGTGGGTATCTCAGGAACCCTTCATGCCTTAAGCTTGTTGCTACCGCAGTGAACTTAGGGCTATGAAAGACTCCTGAGCTAGATTTTGAAATCCAAGCCCAAAAGCCCAAGTGGTCGAAGCAATTTTGGGATCCAAATCCCGATCTCCAGTTATTGGGAGTTATTAGGTACAAACAAGTTGGGGAGCACTCATTCGGCGTGTTCAAATTGGAGCCTTCCAAGGAGAATTTGTTCTCACATGCCCCAGGGGCGTGTCATAGGAGCATGTAGAAACTTGCTGCGCCGCGTGTAATTCTGCCACTGCGAGCACGCAGCCAGACGACACAGGCAGGCCTCCAGCTCAAGGTCCGACAATCTTTCCTGGCCACACGGTGCACCAAAGTTTCAGCTTCTCAGCGTCCTTGGCCTTTGGAAGGCACGATGCTCTTCAGGTAACCTTTCCAGGGCCTGGCATCTTTAATGTTTCGTTTCGCTGCATGTGCATAGGCTTTTGGATGGCATCTGCATGGTCGTTCTACTCCAGGCCCTGGCAACGCAAAGCAAGAAAACTGGCGAACGCTGGCGAACGCTTTCCAATTCCCCTCGTGTCTCCCTCTGTGTGATTCCAAGCCCTGGCGGAGGGATACGTTGTCTTCTTTGGTCTTGATCCCTGCAGGGCCTGGTGTTACCAAACAAGCTTGTAGCCAAACGTCGGCCATTATCTGGTCAGGGACCCTCATGAACTGGCCCGTAACCTGAGGTTAGGGGTGATGTATGCCTGGCTCGCTGGCCGCGGTGTCTTGCAAGTCTGAGTGGACGCTGTCGTGTGCCGTCAAGGAAGGGCACTGCCGCAGGCTGCGGGAGGTCGTTGCTATCAAGGCGCCAGGCTGGGTCGGGGCGGCAAAGAGCAAGTCTCTCTTTGCGTTGCCGTTTGTTTGCTTGCCCAACTTGAGCTCACATATTTTGTCCCAACCGCGCCTGTGAAAGATTGTGAAAGTGCATGTTTGCTTGCTGAATTGAATGGCTTTCTTTGCGTGTGTGTGTGTGTGTTTGCTTGTTTGCTCGCTTTTTTTGCGTGTCTTCTTCTGTTTGACTAGTTTCTTTGCTTGCTTCTTTCCTTTTGCTTTCCGTTGCACAGCGCGGTCCCCTTAAAAAGCCCGTCGGCCAAAGGGCGTGCGCGCACTTCCAAGGCACACGTTTCGAGCTGCTTGATGTAAGTAGGACCCTGGTCCGAGTTGTGAGACAAGGCCGACGAATTTGATGGATTCCCATGCTCGCCGGGGCTTGGGTGCAAATTTGAAAGGCTCCGATTTGAGCAGGACGAAGGCGGGCCTTGGCGCAGTGGAGCTCGTTCTGCTCTCGTGGCCTCAAACGAACATTCCATGCTCAGCCCCCAAGAATCAGAGCCTCCTTTTTTCCTGAAAAACATCTGAGAGCTGTTCAGCAGAGCATTTGTAGATTGATTTTCCGGAATTGCGCTGCCAAGATGCTTCATACGCTTCAATGATTCATCACAGAAATTAGTGTTACGCTCCTGGCAAAGAACTGAGAAAACAAAGTTGTCCCAAAAATGCTTTGATTTGACTTGACCACACCCCTTTTAAGGCTCCGATTTGAACACGCCAAATCAGGGCTCCCCCAAACCAAAGAAAAGTAGGCCCATGTTGGCAAGAAGAGTTGTGCGGCTTGGCTTGAACGCAGATGTGAAAGCTTGCGATTCGAGCATTGCGAAAGAGGGCCCAGTTGCAGGGTACCGTGTTCAAAACAGATGCCGGCTACGCTAGTCGAACTTTGTTGATGTCGGCATGCGAGAATGTTCTTACCACATGTCAAGCAGGCATGTGAGCCAAAAAAGATGGAAGGCTCCGAATTGAACACGCCATGGGGGGGGCTCAACTACCCATGTTTAAAACAGACCCTGGGGCATGTGACAACAAATTCTCCTTGGAAGGCTCCATTTTGAACACGCCGAATGAGTGCTCCCCAACCCAAGTGCACAACAAGTTGACCCTAATAGTTAGTTGCTCAGCTAGGGCTCCGTTTTGGACACGGTTTTCCTGGGCTGGGGGCGAGATGGCACTCTCATGGCCAAACATGATTTTACGAGATAAGTTTCCCCGACATCAACGGGCCTCTAGCAGGTTAAAAGCGTGGAGAGTTCCTGTTTTCTCGCCGTCCCGGAGCTTGCGAAGGATCCTCTTGACTGCGCGGCGTCTCGCTGACGACATTGGGCCGCTGTGGTAGTCGGGCACTCCTCGGAATGCGTGCTCGCACGACCCACCCTAACATTAATCCAGTGTCACATCATGAGCTATAAATGGAGTCAGTCGAATAACAAGCTGCGAGTGCCAGTTTGCCTACCGACATGAGCAGAAACGGGTCATCCGCAACACCTTCCGAACCACACTAGCACAAGAACGCTGCAATCCCAGATATTTAAATTTCAGGTAACCCGCAGCCCGCAACAGATTGCAATCTGCAGCTTTGTCTCGGGGAGAGTAGCGCAATTTGCGGAACTCGCATGCCCAGTACTCACAATCGTCCAATGTGAAGGAGATGCCAAATCGACGCAGCTCCCGCTGGAAGGCGGGCACGGTGCTACACTGACGGTGAAGATACCTGCCAAACAAAGATGGTCCCTTCATGGAAGCCTATGGACCAGAGTTGTCTGCACATTAGAACCATTATTTTGAACCCGAAAGGCAGAAACGTATTGCAAAACCTTACGAAACCAAACATGCCAAACGTTCGTCAAGCACTCAGGCGCAATGTCACCCTCCTTCCGCATCATTCCTCATCCCTTCGCGAAACACTGTCTACACGTGTCTAGGCTGGTGTTGGATTAGGGTGCTCAAGCATGCTGTCGGTACTTTGTTGGGCAGTCTTGCGCGCCTGCACAAAATCTTTCAAAAAGTCTTGTAGAGTCGTCCCCTGCTGTGCGTTTAAGATGCAGTCTCTTGCTGGTGGAGTTGTCCTCTGGGTGGGCTTCAGCCCGTTTTGGCACAAACCCAAGCCTCAGCTGGGCGCGCGAGATCCTGCGGCCAGCCTTGGAGCACCCGACGCCGCTGATGAACCTGAAGCCTTCGCGGGCCCGCAAGCCAAGGTGCAAATCCAGATTTACCTGGTATGAAGCAAACTGGTAGGTGGTGCTGTCCAGAAAAGCATCCGCTTGGCTGCGGCCCTTGGCCACCTGCTTCGGGAAACAGCTATCTGGCGCAAGCCCCGCGCTGTTAAACAACAACAAACCGCGTTGACCATCTCTACGCAGCGTGCGGTGCGCAATCCAGCCCTTTTTTCTACTGGATCGACCCCAGTGCTTGGGATTGCGCCTTCTGGTGTTGATGCATGGGATTGCGTGGGTCAGCTGCTGCGTCGGCATGATTTATCCCGCATCCGCACAAAGGAAGCAGCGATGCGAATACATGCGAATACTTATGCTAGCGAGGCATTGATGAGGGCCGGATTTTAGACATACTGCCTTTGTTCTGCAGCATGTGCTCTGGAGCCCTTGTGGCTGCTGACAGAAATTCACTTGCAGCTGGTAGATGCTGGTAGGACGAAAGCAGTCATCATCACTCGCTTGCCGGGAACGCACGGAACCTTGCGACAAGCTCCACGGGCTTTCGCCAGTCTTTCGCGAAGTTGCTCCAAAATAGCCCAGCCAACGTCTGGGCTTGCGCCATTCCCAACACAGGCAGAGAATCAAGCATGCAAGTAATTGTGCTGCGCATCTTCTGTCTACAAGGAGTGGGGTCAGCAAATATGCAAGTGCACAAGCATGCCCACAAGATGCCAGCGCGGAATTTGTGGGCCTGCGTTTGCTTGGGGTGGGAGGATGATCCTCCTCGCCAAAATGGCACGCATTCTCTCACGCAACTTGTGTCCGATGGCCATCACAAACACACACCCCAGCTGCTATGGGCAGCAGGGCCAAAATCCATAGCCTGGTGCAAGAAGTCAGAAACCAAAGAATGCGGGCTGCCCTCAGGCCCCCTATTGCTATGTTTAACTTTGAAAGGGTAAAATGAAAGCCCCGCCAGAAAGCTGGGAGTCAGGCAAATGACATCAGCAATGTTCGACATACTTTCTCAGCCCTGAGTCTGAAGGCTCTCTGGCTGTCGGCACCTCGCTTTAAGCCTTCAGCCACGCCTCGCCCAAAAACTCCTTCAGCGCCAGCAGCGCCCGGCTCTTAAACTTCTCGCGAGTGATGCCGCGGCCCACAGGCCGGTAAGCCGTTGGCATCGGCGCGTCAGCCAGCAGATTGCCCAGCTTCGCAAGCCAGGGCAAATCGCCACCGCTCCGCCGCCGGATTGGCAAGCGCATTGCGGCGCACCTCTCCTGGCAGGGCTGCCCAGCACAAAAAGGCTGGCCACAAAGTACCGATTGCGCTCCCTTCGCAATGTTTTCAGGGAAACTCGAGATTCTCTCTTGATCAGGGCACGACTTTTTTGCAAGTTCCCCACCTTCGTCACCAGCATGAACCGTGCCAGAAAGCACGTCAGGTAGCACGTGCGCCAGTCCAGGTTCTCCAGCGACAGCAGCAACTCACTGGACCCCCTGTCCAAGACGCGGAAGACCTGGGATCAAAACAGTTGGGTTGCCCCATCCCAAAACACAGGTCTGCGTGTACTCACAGGTACTGACTTGTGCAGGTATACTGACTTGTGCCCGACGTTGTGAATATGAGGCCAAGCAAGCCAAACAACCCGTGCCAAGTTCTATGCAAGGCGCGTTGTTGATCTTCTTGTTCTTGAGTCGCTTCTTCACCTCTGCCGGCAGCTCGGGCCATGGGGTTCCAGCTTGCCGCCCAAGGCGGTGCCGCAGCATGGCGAGCCGGGCCGCGGCTGCAAGGTAGTACTCCCGCACGTAGCGCGCGTCGACCACTGCCTTCGACGGTCGCATCGGTCGCCGCACCGGTGCGCCTGGCACATCTGCTGCTGGCAGCTTACGCTTCCGGGCCAGTCTGATCTCCACCTCAAACTGCTGCTGAAGCTTACGGCTGAACCCCTTTGCGGCCAGCGCTCTCACGCCCAGCTCCTCCCGGGATCTCGCGGTCTGCAACTGCTTCCGCAAACGTTGTGAAACTACTCTGAGGCGCTGCGCACGTCTGCGAGCTCTCTGTTGATGCCGCACTTTGTTGCTGCCAGCAGACATTGCAAATATGGGAGGCCTATTCGCAAGCCGTAATCCGCTGAGTCTTCATGAGTCTTGTTCATTCGAAACCCTCGCTGCAAGAGAATCCGTGCAACACAAGATCCGCAAGCCGCATGTCATAATTTCATCCATGTGACGTTCAGGGGCCATTGGCAAGCTGGGAACGACTAAAGCCATGGTTGGCGCATGAAGCCACAATAACACGACGCATGAGCCTTCACAACCAGGGCCTGGCTTCTCAATGTTTTGTTTCCCGTCGCATGTTCATATGCTCATTCATATGCTCGTTCTAGTCCAGGCCCTGGCAACGCAACGCACCCCTCAGGCTGCTTCTATTCGCAAAAGCTGATCGACCGACGAACGCTTTCACTCTTGCCAATCCCCCTTGTTTGATCTCATCCAACGCTGCTGCAAGGCCTAAGAGCCAACGTGGCCTTTGATGGTTACGGCCAGGGCCAAATTGCTGCACGCCCCAGGGCCCGGCCCGGCATGTCTAAAGTGATTGCTTCTCGTAGCGCGTTTTAGGGGCTCAGTCCCCACTGCACCGGGCCCTGGCCCGCCACCAAGAAGTAAGGAAAGCAACGGGAGCCCGGGGCCCAAGAAGTAAACAAAGGGCGCTAAAGCTGACTTGCTTGGTCGCTATATTTTGTTCATGCCCAGGCTTTGCCAGTCAACAGGATTGCCAGGCACACCACATAACACGTGCGTAAGGGCGCCGGGAAATCACTGCTTGCCATTTTTTGCCAGTCAGGATGCTTGCCAGGCCAGGTGCAGCCTTTCCACCCGAACATATGCCATTACAATATTACCTGCGTAGGATGGTGCGCAGCAGAATCATGTGTTCAAGTTGAATCCACCCTTTGTGTTACGCAGCATCACTAGCAGCCTTGCGCTGGGAAAGGCGACGGCAAGCGAAGGTCAACAAGTCAGCTTTGCATTGACTTCTTGACATGCCAACTTCATTGGAGACGCCTCTCACTTCTTGCGGCGCTTCAGCTCAGCTTCAATTTCTGACTTTGTCTGGACCTATACTCTGCTCATGCTTCCTAGACCCTGTGACCTTTAAGCCGTCAACATCATCAGTTTACTTGCTGCCAAACGTTGGCTGAAAAGCTGAACGCAAGTGCGGCCAAGCAGCTAAGCTCTTCGTGCTCCACGATTTCAACGAAGCGCCCTTGCGCACACATCCGGAATCCAGGCTGTCCACTGCCTTCTTGACGTCGTGAAGTGTGAGGCGACCGTACTTCAAATGCACCTTCACGGAGCCTGGGGCATGCCGCCTGGGAGAACATTGACCATGTCGCTAGCTTCAAAAGAGGGGGCTGCGTGATTGCAACAAGCGGTGTCAACTGAGCGCCGCACGCGTATTTCATGGATAAAGCTGTAGACAACCCCTGGCCCATTAACTCCGTGATTAAGGTCGCCCTTCCAGAGTGGGGCCTCAGCTTTGCCATGTCTGGAGTCCAGCGTTGCTTTTTTTCTTGTAGCTGCTTCATGAATTTCGGAGCCAACTTCTTCACCACTGCGTGCACTGCGTGGTAGTGCAGATGCCCGCATTTGGCGTTCTTCCGAGCAGGGAACAAATACCCTTGCCCAGGCGGGCTGAACACATCCTTCTTTTGAATGAGCTTTTTCTTTCCCTTTCCGTGCTTGTGTTTCTTGAAGCGGGTGTACATCACACGGCCAGCAAGCATGTCCTTCACGTACTGCATGTCTTTCTGCCTAATGTACACGTCTCCCGGCGACTTTTTGTTGCCAACCTCTCCTCCACCAACGCAGAGCTTTGGCACTTCATTTTCTAGATGAAAGTCGGCCCGCCTTAGGCACAGTGCTTCCCCTGTTCTGAGGCCAAATCGCCCGGTAAGCGCCAGCGCAACGGCCATGCGAGCTCCGGCGTGCTCACCAACATACTTCTCCCAGGCCAGCCACTGTGTCCTGCTCAAAGCAGGCGCCTGCCCAATCTTTTGTTTCGTTTTGAGGGCACCTGCTCCTGCCATGGCGAGGATAGAGACAATAGGCGAAGGCCGGCGATGTGAGCTAAAGCGACCCGCGGGCAACAGCGCATACCACAGAAAAGTGCGAGCAAAGCCGAATATTGAATAGCCTACCCACCTTGCGTGGTTTTAGCTTCAACTCTTCTCCATTGGCACTGAATTCGTTTCCGGAAACAAAGAATCAAGCATTCCCTTGCCTGGCTGCTCAGACCTGGAGTTGTAGCTGTAGCCCGCGCTCGCCCACCACTCGACTCTCCTCCCCCGCCCCCGCGCTCAACTCAGCACTCCCACGCTCGCCCCCCCACGCTCACCCCAGTTGCTCCCGCTCGCCCGCTGCGCTCAACCCCTCGCACTCCCGCACTTGCTCCTCCGCCAGTCCGCGCTCGCCCCCCGCGCTCAACCCCTCGCACTCCCGCGCTCGCCCCCCGCGCTCACCCCGGTTTCTCGCACTCCCGCGCTCGCCTCCCGCGCTCGCCCGGTTTTTCCCGCGCTCGCCCCCCGCGCTCGCCCCCCGCGCTCGCCCCCCGCGCTCGCCCCCGCGCTCGCCCCCGCGCTCGCCCCCCGCGCTCAACCCCTCGCACTCCCGCGCTCCCCACCAACCTTAAACGCCGGCTGGGTTGAAAATGATTGTGAACTTTCCTTCCATCCATTTCTTGCAGTGGAACATCCAACATTGCGGGCGTCCAAGGGGTTGAGCGCGGAGAGCGAGCGCGGGAAAACAGGGCGAGCGCGGGGGGCGAGCGCGGGGCGCGGGGGGCGAGCGCGGGGGGCGAGCGCGGGGGGCGAGCGCGGGGGCGCGGGGGCGAGCGCGGGGGCGAGCGCGGGGGGCGAGCGCGGGGGGCGAGCGCGGGAAAAACCGGGCAAGCGCGGGGTGCGTAGCAGGATTGCCAGGCCTGTCGGAGGAGCAAGTATGCGGTGAAACGAGCAGGCGAGAGCAAGGAGCGGGCGCAAGCAACCAGGGATGTGGGGGGGGCTAAGCGCGTGCGAGATAGGCACGTGTGTCAGGGCAAGTTCAGCGGGGAGTGATCCCAGGAAGCCAAGCTCGAGGCAAGGAGTTGGAGCGCATGGTGGCAACACCCAAGTCCAAACTCTTGGGTTGAAAGTGGTGGGTCCAATGTCAGGGCGCGTGGCGAACGATTGGCGCTCTTACTAATAGTAAGAAGGGCAGAGTAAGCTCGGAAGGGTTGCCGCGTGGTCCAGGGCATGGCCAAGCGCAAGGCGCGAAGCTTTTTCCATTGCATTGATCATGCGCCAGCTAGCAGTTGGCCGGTGTGCTCCATGAGCGCGTTGCAGATTGGACTTGCGTATGTCTGTTCAAGATATCTGACGCAACGTGACACTCAGGATGTCGCAGGATGAAGCAGGCAAGACAAGCAGGGTGAAGCAGACAGCAAGTAACACTCATCCGTTTGGTCACAGTTAAGTCACAGCGGGTTGGTGTCGCAGTGAAAATGCATCAACTGTTAACAGATCAACCAACCAATCAATCAATCAGTTAGCCAACCAATCAATCAATCAATCAATCAATCAATCAATCAATCAATCAATCAATCAGTCAGTGAACCAATCAACCAACCAATCTGTACACAATCAATCAATCAATCAATCAACCAACCAACCAACCAACCAATCAATCAATAAATCTATCAATCAATCAATCAACCAATGAATCAGCACTTGAAATGCCGGACGGGAAAGCAGCGCGGGCAATGAAAGGGTCATTGTCATGGGATCAGACCTACCAAACACTGCAGAGCGTTTTGCTGGCAAGTTTTGATTTGGCGGACAAGGAGATCAACGCCGTTGCAGAGACATGCGCCGACGCGTTATTTGAACAGTTTGATCAGGAGAGCAAGAAGAAGAAGAAGAACAAGGGCAAGAAAACTTACCCAGGCAAAAGCAACTGGACATCTTTCAACGCGAAGAGGGCCGATAAAGACATATCAACAGCGCCTTTGCCTGCCGTTGCGAAGAAGGAGCCGAAGGAGCCAGCGGCGGTGAAGAAGGAGCCACCGGCGGTGAAGAAGGAGCCAGCGGCGGCTGCGGCAAAGTCTTCGGCAAAGTCTTCGGCAAAGGCTTCGGCAAAGGCTTCAGCAAAGGCTTCGGCAAAGGCTTCAGCAAAGGCTTCGGCGGCAAAGGCTTCGGCAAAGCGAAAAGGTGGCGGCCGGTCTCGAGAGGATATGCATTTGAAATCGGTGCGACAAGTTCGGGGAGAGACTGTGGCAGCAAAGATAGAGCCACAAATTCGGGCGCAGTATGCTGCGCAAGAAGAAGCTTTGGCTGTGGGGCGAGCCTTGCTTGATCTGGGTGCGAAAAAAAGACCAACTCTTCAGCAGCCTTGGCTCTTGCTTGCAGTGACAAGGAATCCTCGCTGGCCGGCTAGGCCACGGAGTAGGGGAGCCAGAATGCAAGCTCTGATGCTGATGCTGGCAGGACCGCCTTGCTGGCCGTGCTGATGTTGCTGCTGGGTTTGTGTTTTGATGGTGCTGATGATGCACGGTAGCCCAGCCTTGGCATCGGTTTCATGCCGCGTGGATGGCTGCGCCTGCAATTGTCCAGAAACGCAAGAAAGACAGATTTCAATCGGTCGTCGTCAGCATGTCTTGTGTCACTGCTCTGATGAAATCAAGCGCTTTGTTCATCGCACTCTGGCCAATTTGCTCAAAAATGGTCACGGGAACTTGTTAATGGGATTTGCTTAGATAACTTGCTCAAAGAGTCCGCGTAGAGAAAGCTATTCAAAAGCCACGCTGGATGTTGAATTGCAGTGGTGCCATATGCTGTCCATGTATGACGCTTGCAAAACAGCCAATTATGGCCAACTCCAAGGAATAAATTGCGTTTGGAATTGTGGACAGGGATCGTGCGCAAGTGTTCGCGCGTCGCAAGGTCTTGCGTT